GTATTTTTGCAAATTTGTTGGACTCCTTAATCCAAGCTATGTATTGCCCAAACATGAAACCGTCGGTGGTTTTCTACTTGATAATGAATTTAAGCGAACAGAATTGGAATTAACAAAGCAATTGGAAAATCAGAAAGTGGTCCTCGCTCAGGATGGGTGGAGCACTATCCAGCAAGAACCGGTGATTGCGCATAGCGCAATTTGTAATGGACAATCCTTTTTCTTGGGTGCAGAGGCGACAGGTGGTTCTCCGAAGACTGCTGAATTTTGTTACTCATTATTCGAAAAACAATTGAAGCAGCTTGAAACGATTAATTGCGAGGTTGTAGGACTGGTCACTGATAATTGTAATACAATGCTAGCGCTGCAGAACCTGGTCAAGAAAAATAACCCCAATGTAATTGTTTACGGATGCTCGCCCCATTTGCTAAATCTAGTTGGCCAGCACTATACCAACAAAGAGTTGATGGACAAAGTTATACAAGTTCAGAAATATTTTCGGAATCATTACTACGCCAGAGCCGATTTGAAATCTTCAAAGGGGAAACGTCCAGTTCTACCTATGCCCGTACGTTGGAACTCTCAAACCGACTGTTGTTTGTCTTATTTAGAAAATAACGGCAAATACCTAGAGATCATCCGTGCTCGACGGAACACGTCAGAAAGAACGAAATCGGAGCGTGATGAAGACGATTCTGTGTATGCCATAATATCGGATACGAGTTTGTATGATTCAGTGGAGCAAATGATAAAGTTGTTTAGTTCTGTGGTTAAGGCGATTGATAGTGTAAGTATTCTTAAACTTTTAATCAAGATTTTAAAATTTGCAAAACCAAACAAAAATTTCTTATTTCCAACTTTAGTTGCAACGCGAGGACGCAAATCTGGCGGATATGTGTCAACAGTGGATCACAGTTCGGGAGGAAATTCCTCTCAAATACGCGAACGACAATTATTTCCAGGAGAAAATGAAAATGGCAATGACCGATATAGCAATTACGGCGCATATGCTACATCCTCATTTTAAAGGCAATATATTTTTCGTAAATATATTTTTCGCAATATATATCGCAATATATTTTTCCTAAATTTTGTTGATAGGCTAAAAAGTAATATTTATAATAATATTTGAACTAGGGGACGGACTAACCGAAGTTGAGAAAGAAAAAGGTCGTAAAATCCTGAACAAGAAAGGAACTTTATATTTATTAGCCGCAATGGATTTGCATAATTCTGATGCATCAGTTTTCTCGGAAACAATGCTACTTGAAAGTTCTACGAGGTCGATTCCACCACAAAAATGGTGGAGAGCTGCAAATCAAAACAAATTACCAAAAGGGTTTACGGAATTTGCTGTGTCCCTATTTAATCTTCCGGCAGGGACGGCGTCTTTAGAGAGGAATTTCTCATCCCTTGGAAATATCCTGACAAAGAAGCGCAATCGCCTTGGCGTAGAGAAAGCATCGAAACTATGTAGAGTAAATCAGACGCTACACAAAACTGGGGAGGAAAAAGTTCCGACTTCAAGGAAGCGGAAATGGTTTGATAGTATTAATAGCGATGAGAACATGTAGTACATACGTTAGTATTGGTCTAATAAACTAAGTATGTAACATTATTGCATTGTGGGCATTAAAATTATTTTTGTGCATTTTTGTGCATTTTGTGCACTTCTAGGTGGGTGTTATTAAACGCATAAAAACATTATTATGCACTAATTTTGTGCAGCTGTTTTTTAACAGCAGAAACACTGCTAAGATGACGTAGTGTGCTTGTAGCGCTGCTACCACCCTACGCTCCTCATCCCTATCCTATTCTCCCCTTCGTGACAGTTACCTACTACGTCACGATTCTTAACCTTTCACTTTAGGATTAATCCAGTGCGTGGAATTTTGACCTATGTGACCTTTTCTTGTTAAAATCATATAGAATGATAGTTGAGTATTATATTCTTAACAAGAAAACTAAGTAAAAGTTAATATTACACGCATACAAGTCGGACCCAATCCTGATGATGATCCTGATGATAAATTTTCTATCATTGGATCGACTTTATGCGTTGAATTTGCACTTATCTTAACTTTTCCTATTATATACATATAAAATGATAGTTGATTATCATATTTATAACAAGAAAACTAAAGATAAGCTGTTATCCCACGCACTGAAGTAACCCTTGTCATGCATGGTCTCTACCTGCACACTAAGTCATGGTTTGGACAACCATGAGAGGCGAGTTGCTACTTATATAATACGCTTCATATGAAACTAAATCTATGTAGTTGAATCCCTTGACCTTTGGAATGATAATGTTGCATTTGCATTATCATTACAAAGGTTGCAAACAATAAATACGTAATGAAAAGATGCAAATTACAGTACGAGTTAGGGGCAAGCAGTGTTTTGTTTGGCAAAATTTCTTTCACTGTAAAGCAAGAAATGCGGAGTGCAAGAAACTGGGAGAAAGTGCAAGAAATATGTGTCATCTGACCACGTGTCGTATGAAACATAGCGGCGGGAAGGAGTTTTTCGTGCCTTGGATTTCTTGCAGGGGAAAATAAAATTTAGCTGCAAGAAACCACTTAGGTACTTGTTATTTCTTGCAAGTGGTGAATTTGCTACATTTCTTTCACTGCATTTGCAAGAAATGCGAGGTGTAAGAAACTGGGAGAAAGTGCAAGAAATATGCGACATTTAGCCACGTGCCTTATGAAATATAGCAGCCGGAAGTAGTATCTTGCTCCGTCAGGTCAAAAAAGCTGCAAGAAACCACTTTCTCCTCGGATTTTCTTGCAAGTGGTTTCTTACACCCGAAACACTGCTTAATATTTTTCTGCACAGACTAACCTTCAGCGGAAGGGACGGGATACAAGGTCATCACGACCGCGATGATGACAGTGACGAGGAGCAGGTTTGATTTGCAGAACGCCATCTTATTCGACTTCCGGTTCGAAACAGCGTCGCGGTGGTTAGGGGGGCAGAGAAAAAAGGATAGTTGAGAAATTTTTGGACACTTTTTCCACAAATTTTTGAATGAACTGTGTTTCATTTTGATTGGCGTTGTTGGCAGGGAAAATTTCAGATTTGACAAATTTGACATAAAATGAATGTGTGCTCGGCGTATGTGCGAAATTGACATCATAACCTTTGCCTAAATTTTGTGCTAACAATGGAATCCTTTTTTCCATCAACACATAAACAGCTTAGCGATTTATGCGAAAAAAAGCTAGCCAAAAATTATTAATCACGTGGTACTAATCTTTCCGTTGAATGACCAGTTTGAGGTCATGTATTGGGGGCAAAGTTCACAGTTTTTCCTTGTTTTTATCTCAGAACAGGGCAGAATCGTGAAATTTTCCCAAAAATTTGGGCAAAATTGAGCAAATTTGGGCAAATGTTGCCCAAAAATTTGCTCCCCCCAAACTGGTCGTTCATTCAACAAAAAGATACATAAGTTCTTCCACGTGATTCCTCATTTTTTGTGTGATTTTTTCCCATAAGCTATTCGGGCGTAGCTTGAAAAAAAAACGTTCAAGAAAATAATTTCGAATACATAATTCGTATTCTTTCGAAATTGTGCAAAAATATTTTTTCCCATTTATTTCGACAAGGTTGACTCCATCAAAGTAATAATAATTCGCTAATGGTGTTTTACAGGGGACAAAATTTATAAAAAGTCACTTTCTTCTCGTCCACAAAAGTAAATATGAATGAATGTCAATTCTTGAATTCAGTCTTTTATTCTTATCAATATTTCGCATCACATTCATTTTGAATAAAAATTTTTGATTAAGTATAAAACAAATTGGTACACAAAATTTTCATTTGAAATTTGAACGCTACGAATTTGGACGCTTTGAGCAAGTGTGACTTCCATGAATATAAGCGCCACAGGTGGAGCATTGCGTGGCCGGACTGCTGTCATCGTTAGATCCCCAGCTCGGCCACGTCCACGTCCCCCAGGTCGAAATTCTGGACGAGGATCCGGTGGTCACTCCGTGGTGAAAAGGATGATGAAAAGCCATCGTGAAATTTTGTGATGATCGGTACGCAGCTAAATAATTTTCGAAAATAAGGCAAAGATTTCTGGAAAAATTAAATACTTGCAAAAAATTAAACCAACCTTATTTATTCGCAATGGTTCTTTATTTCTACTTGTGTCCAACAGGTCCGACTGCAAGCTGATCGGTGCTAATTTTCGAAAATATGACAAAGATTTCTGGAAAAGTTAAATACTTGCGAAAAATTTAAACCAACCTGATTTACTTACTTTTTTGAAATGGTTGCAAATTTAATTTTGCAATATTTTATATGTTGCTTGAACAAGTTTTCTACTCGTGTCCACCTCCAGGTCCGACTGCAAGCTTGTGAAGTTTGATCGTTCATACCGGCTATTTATGCATATGCAAATTTCGACATTATAAACGCTCATGAAGCATTATGAACTTGAATGAATGAATAAATTGAAATGCTTTCGTGGTCGGGTTGTCATCATCCCAAACAAAAAAGTGGAGTTTAGTATTATGCGTGATTTATCGGTTACGACAAAAGCTGCACAACCTGATAAGATCTACCACCTAGGTGGGTTTATACCTCTGAAATGATAAGTCCTTATCGTCAGCCTTTAATTTTTTTTACTACGTATCATGATCATGAAAATTCATTCATGACACTTATCAGGGTCATGAAGTAGACTAAAACCGGACGTGGATAACCTACTTACACATCTTTTAAATTCTAGATTTCTGTAACCCTGACTTGCGAGCTGATTGAAAAAGCTTCCTCTGTCATTGAGAAGTTAACGCGGAAAAATCTTGCGCCAATTTTGGCGATATTTGGCGGCGTCCTTAAATGTTGAAAGATTATTTTCATATTCTGGTGAGTCGCAATTATAGAAATATTAAAGACTTATTCCTCTAGGATAACTCAGTTTTGGTACAAAACTACACACTCCAAAAACTATTTATGCTTTAATAAGATCGCCAATTAAACAATTCAAAACCGGGCTGAATCATGGATTTTATTCACAAACTCATTCATTCATCACTTTCTTTGAAATGTTTCACAACCATGAATTAGATTATTATTTTTTCATTCTTGTACATATATTCACCCGTCATTACAGAAATATGGACTATTTTCCGCACTAACTTTCAGATTCTTTGTCAATCATGTAAAAACATTGCATTCCATTTTATCCTCTAAATCTGACTGGACGAGGGGGAGGAGGGCGATAGACGGGGCGATAAACAACTGGGCGACTGATGACGCCAATCGAGTGACCGGGGCGACCGTAGGTCCGATGTGAAACGTAAGTACTTGATCCTCCCGAACCTCTCGGGCCGAACCAGACCGCGGCCACGAGGATGACTAGAAACAGGAAGATAAGCAGACCCGTTATGAGACATTGTTTTAGGTTGCACGACGAATTGTCGACGTATGCCACCGGTGCGACGTTCACGTAGCCGGCGTCGTAGTAGCCAGGGTCATCTGGGGGGGAGATGATTAAGTTAAGTTAAATGGGTTTGTTAATTTTAAATATTTCGTTTAATTCGAAGCACTCGACGATATAGCGTCAAAATCAGGACAGTTTTTTTTAATTATTTCTCCCCTCTGGGAACTTATTTTAAAATTCTGGACGACAAATTTGCAGTCAGTGAGGTGATTAATGGAATGGCGTTGAGTTTTTGGAGCCAGTTTCGAAGAGGTCCAATTTTTCTGAAGGCTTCTTAAACTTGAGATCTCCTCCGTCAAAAAGTGTCAAAATCTGGAGTGTATATTTCTAAAAAATTGGGAACGACCTGCTCAACAAATTTGTTGTCCAAAATTTTGAAATAAATTCCCAGAGGTGAGAAATGTCCAAAAATGTGCTGATTTTGACGATTTGGGTGAGTTCTATGTACATAAATGTGTTAAGTAATTAAATTATTACATTGTGCGTAACCCATGTTGCTCGTTGGTGGATAGATGACCGGTTCAATTCCGTATTCAACCACGGGAACGTCGACAACTGCAACTTCCGCGACCGGGTAGGAATAGTACGGATCGTACGTGTCGTACGAGTAATATGCCATTCTGAATTAACGCTTCTTGGGGTCAACGCCGACCACTTGGCGGAAGCGGCGGCGTCAATTTTGAATTATTTTTAGGCGATGTCAATTCTGGACGATTTTTCGGCGGCGGTATCAATGTTGGATTATACCGCAGATTTTCTGCGGCTTCCGGGCGTACGATCGGTGGTGTTGACCTTTTTTGGGGATGGATGGAAATTAAAACTTGTAAATATGTAACTGTAATTTTTGCGGGCTGAATTTTTACTGACCGGAAGGATTGTCAAGGTCTTCTCTTTGCCCACCAAAAAATAAAGCGGCCAGTATTTTAGTGACGTGTTGAATATGGAATAAAGACCAGAAGACTTTGAAGAAACGAATTATCGTTCGTGTCAAATGGCCAGTTATTTTTAAAAAAGTTTCATTTTATTTTTGAAAAAAATTGTACGGCAATAAATAAAATATTACAATCCATACCGGTGTTGTTAAGATACTAAAAGTCAAACAATCGTGCAATGGTGTCTTACAAGTGGGGACATTTGGGACATTAACATTGTAGGATTGGGGAGGGAGCACAGAATATAGATTCTACCAGAAGAATCGATCTTATGTATTCGAGTGACGCTTATGGAGGAAAGGGGAGAGCCAACCAAATAACTCGGTGTACATTTGGCCCACCTGGGGGAGGTGCCTACGCATCATCATCATCGCCACATCTCCTGGCATCAAAAAATGATGATGACAGCACATAGGTGGCGGTGGCACCCCCATTTGTGCACCAGAACACACCGTCGTAGAGCATCAAATTTGTGGAGACGCAGCTCAGAATTGTGTGTTCTGGTGCACAAATCGGGGTGCCACCGCCACCTATGTGCTTTCATCATCATTTTTTGATGCCAGGAGATGTGGTGACGATGATGATGCGGAGGTGCCATCCCCCAGGTGGGCCAAATGTACACCGAGTTATTTGGTTGGCTCTCCCGTTCCTCCATAAGCGTCACTCGAATACATAAGATCGATTCTTCTGGTAGAATCTATATTCTGTGAAGATGGGGAGCTGATGCAGACATCGAATAACCGTGGGGACATTGTCCCTCTGTCCCCATGCTCCCGTACCTTCGGAATTTTGCTAAGTTGCCTATATTGGATTTCTGCTATTTTTGTGCAAAAATGTTCCGCATTATTATTTCAACAAGGTTGATGCCATGTTATATTTATGTACGGGTTAGAAATTCTTAAAAAGTAACGCAATAAAATGTATGTATTATGAATTATGTATGAAGTACAAATGAATGTCAATTATTCAGTCTTTATTCTTATTAATTCACATCAATGTCCATTGTGATTTAGAATAAAAAAAATTGGCACGAAAAATTTGGATAAACGTTACTTTGAACAAGTGTGACTTCCATGAATATACGCGCCGCACGTGGAGCACTGCGTGGCAGGACTGCTGTCATCATCGGATCCCCAGCTCGGCCACGTCCACGTCCCCCAGGTCGAAATTCGGGACGAGGATCCGGTGGTCATTCCGTGGTGAAGAGGATGTTGAAACGCCATGGTCAATGATCGGTGCTCAGCTAAATAATTTTCGGAAATAAGACAAAGATTTCAATAAAAATATGTAAATGATTACGAAAAATTAAACCAACCTGATTTATTTGGAATGTTTGTTTGTGCAATTGTGTTTATATTTGTTGGTAAAGTTTTCTACTTGTATCCAGGTCCGACTGCAAGCTTGTGAATTTTGGTCGTTCATAATTTCCTTTTTATATGCAAATTTCGACACTATGAAATTCTTGGTCATGACTTTCTGTTTATGAACTTGTTTATGAATCAGTTAACAACATTGTTTAAATTGAGATGCGTTCATGATGTCGAGTGAGTTGGGTCATCATCCCAAAATCGCATACATACTGTGCCGGATAAGCTGCAGTTGGATAAGGTAAACAGCTCTATGTCTAAGTATGTACATGTGTCTGTATGTAGTGATAAGCACTTATCATCATCCTTCCTTTATTCCATCATAATCATGGCAATTCATGACATCTATTTTATCGGCTTCATGAAGTACACAAATTCGAATTGTTTGTCAAAATCCCTTAGGGAAAAATCGGCTAAATAGATAGGGAAAAATCCCTATCTTCCTATGGTTAGCCAGCGTTACGAAGTTTACGAACAGCGCCTTATCAATCCGGAATAATGAAAAGGCGCAAGGCGCAATGCTATCTTAATCATTATGAATACTTAATTCATGTAAAAATGTAGAGATCAGAGGTCACCGGGTTTCAGAATACGTGACAAATTTAAAACTCGATGAGTAACGTGAGCGTATTTCGAGAATAAGCATATCGTCAAGTCGAAATCAGGAGCAGAGATAGAGCCATTCCTGTTCAAAAATTTAGTTTTCATTCAAAGCCCAATCATCACGATTTCTGACTGAAGATTTTCATTCACATTCAGTCATTTCACTTCATCTAACTTCATTTTTTACCTCGCCACATGTTTCAAGCATAGGGTGAAAAATAAAATGAGTCAGAAATCCTTGTCATTCATCTGAATTTCAGATTCTGAAATCACAGAAACTTTCAATCATTTTCATTCAAATCACACGAAATTCATGTTCACTCACCATCAAAATCACTCAAATGAATGAATGAAAGTGAACAGGTATGCTTACTTCCACCAAAAAATATTTACTACATAACGATCGGTATCGCCAAATTGGCGACGCCAATTAAACATTTCAATGCCGGAGGATCGAATCATGAATTTTATTCACAAAGTCATTCATTCATCACTTTCTTTCTGAAATGTTATGAAAAACTTCGATTTTTTTCATATTCTTTGTCATTATAGAAATATAGACTATTTCCGGCGGGGTCACTGACTAACGCTCTCGGAGAGTTGGATTCGTCGCCTCGAATTAATTATCGTAAATATGTAAATGTTGCACCCCATTTTATCTTCCCCACCGGCGAGGAGGGGGACGGCCATAGACGATCGTGCGAACCGGGCGAGGATGGTACGTCGACACGTAGGCACGTCCTCCTCCAAAATTTCGAGGGCCAATGGTGAATGCGGCAACGATTATTAGAATCATAACAATTATAAAGGTAGCAATAAAGGCGATGGCCCGCTTTGTCCTGATGCTACTTGAAGTGTCGACGTACCCAACGTCCACGTAGCCTGCGTCGTAATACCCGTCATCTATGCTAGGAGAGAAAATTAATTAATAATATTTTTTCAACACATGACTGGATGATTTATCGCCATATTTTTAATCATTTTTATCCTTTAGGAACTTATTTTAAAATTATGTCCGACCAATTTGTAGAGCAGGGAGTTAGTTTCTAATTTATTAATCAGATTTTGAGATTTTTTGAAGGAGGAGATCTCAAGGTTAAGAAGCCTTCAGAAAAATTGGACCTCGTCGAAACTGGCTCAAAAAACTCAGCACCATTCCATTAATCAACTCTGTGACTACAAATTTGTCGTCCAGAATTTTGAAACAAATTCCCAGAGGCGAGAAATGATTAGAAATGTGCTGATTTTGTCTAAGTACATACGTAAGTTAAGTAATTAAATTATTACATTGTGCGTAACCCATGTTGCTCGTTGGTGGATAGATGACCGGTTCAATTCCGTATTCAACCACGGGAACGTCGACAACTGCAACTTCCGCGACCGGGTAGGAATAGTACGGATCGTACGTGTCGTACGAGTAATATGCCATTGTGGATCAACGCGTCTTGGGAATCCGGGGTCAACGCGACCTATTCTGCAGCAGCGACGACATCAATGTTGAATGATTTTTCGACGGCGTACCATCAGCTGCCGTGACCCTTGCTGGGGATATATGGAAATTAAAACGTGTTACAAATCACAGTAAAATTTTTGCGGGTTGAATTTTTACTGACCGGCAGGATTATCAAGGTCGAGACCGATTTGCCTTCCCCAAAAACAAAGTGTCTCGTATTTTAGTGAAGTGTTGAAAAAAGAATAATTTTGGGGACTTTAAAAAAAGTTTCAGTTTTGAAAATGTAAACGAAAAATCAATTCCAATCAACAAAATATTACAATACCAATGTTCCTAAGACACGAAGACTCAAGCCAATAATTTTTGCGAACTTGCGAACTTTATTGTTTTGCGAACGTTGCTAACGATGCGAACTCGAAATGAATACCCTCAATGTGTCACAAAATTTTTGGGGAGACCGTAAATTTTCAAAACTATCCAGATACTCGCAAAATTTCCAAGTAGCGTTTCCGGTGAAAGTAAGAATCACTTGCAAGAAATAACGGCAACAAGAAAGTGGTTTCTTGCACGTAATTATTTTGACCTTGGAGAAATGCATGGTGCGAAAAATTATGCACCGGCGCTATACTCCATACCGTGGGTGGTTATATGGCGCATATTTCGTGCATTTTCTTCCTGTAAAAAAATATTTATTAACGGTATCGACAATTAAATATTTTAAAGCAATGAATCATGAATTTTATTGACAAAGTCATTATCAATCACTTTCTTCAAAATATTTTGAAAACATGAAATTTCCCGAATCTCATTCGCTCCTTTGGTCAGTCGCAAAGTCGCCATTAGAAATCTGGAGTCATTCCTGAGAGCTGGGTGTGACTGATTCCTGGTGAAATTAACGCATATTGGAATCGATGACTAATCACCAAAATCGTCAAAATCCAGTACTTTTTTAATTGTTTCTCGCCTCTGGGAATTTATTTCAAAATTCTAGACGACAAGTTTGTAGTCAAAGAGTTGATTAATGGAATGGTGCTGAGTTTTTTGAGCTAGTTTCGACGAGTTCCAATTTTTTTGAAGTTTTCTTATACTTGAGATCCTCCTTCAAAAAGTGTCAAAATCTGGAGTGTATATTTCTTAAAAAAGGTAGGGAACTCCCTGCTCTACAAATTTTTCGTCCAGAATTTCAAAATAAATTCCCAGAGGGGAGAAATGACTATAAATATGCAGATTTTGACTATTTGTTCGATAATTATCCACGCGTACGTTAAAAACATTGGGTTCCTTGTCATCTCCCATGGTGGCTTCGGCAGTGCAAACAGGCTACCGGGCGGTTATGAAGAATAGCCGGACTACTTCTACCACCGATCCCACCGATGAAATGATACGAAACACCGACTATAACCGCCACAATCACAGAAGTTATAAGAAATACGATGCACATTCCTTTCCAGCCGAAATTTTGATTTTGGTTGCATCCTACGTAACCGTCGTCATCATCATCGTCATGATAGTGGTCACCTTTCGGGATAATTAAATAAGTCATTTCTTAAAAATTCCAAATATTTTTTGTAACGTGAATCATCGCAAAAATCGTTTAAATCAGAACATTTTTAAGCATTTCTCCCCTTTGGGATTTTATTTCAAAATTCTGAACTACAAATTTATAGAGCAGGTCATTCCTAATTTTTTTTACACAATGTACAATCCAGATTTTGACAGTTTTTGAAGGAGGAGATCTC